AGGGGCATTATAGGGGATGGATAGGATGATGGGAGGGGGCAGAGTAGGAGGTGAATCGGATGATAGGGTGGGGCAAATTAGGAGATGGACAAGATGATGGAGGGGTGGAGTAGTATATGGATGGAAAGATAAGGTGGATGTGGGATTAGAGATAGATGGGATTAGGGGTCGAGCCAAAGTATACATGGAAGATATGGGATGATGGGGGGTTCAATTGTAGAGGATAGGATGATGGGATTGGATACAAAGTGCAAAACTGTACTTTAGGGTAATTTTAATTATGACCATCCTCCAAACTCACAAACGCAATGCTTATCTAGGCATCCAGGTCTTGTCTGACTGTACTGGACCCACATTCTTTAGGCAGTCCTCTCTCCTGTAAAGAACTATGAAGCCTTTGTACGGTTATCTCCCTTGTTGGTCTTAGTTGACTTACTTTAAGGGGAAAAAGGGAAAGAAATACTGTCCTTTGCCGTGGTCACCTGGGTGGGCTCTCCCTTCGAAGACAGAATTTAATTACCCAGATGACCGAATAGGTAGCAATCCAGAACAGAGTGGACTTCATCTGTGTAACTTGGCTGTCTGTTAAAGCTGTTACATGAAAGAAATTCAAATTCATCAGAGGCAGCGAGCAACGGCGGCTTGGCTATTCTAGATTAACATACGTTTTGAAGAAAAGAAAACGCCTGTTGTTTTGCCTCCCCCCCCCGTAGCTAGACTTTAGCAGCCGTATTGGGATGCCGATTGGCTTGTTAAAAAATAATCAAAATCACCAGTGTCTTGTTTGCAACACTGAATCTGTACATGTGATTGTTCTGAAACGCACAGGTCTCATCGGGGGTGGGAGGGTGCTTGCCTATAGCTTCAAGTGACTCCCGTATATGATCTTGCAAATCTTGCAAGCTGTCCGTTGGATGTCATGTTGGGCATCATAAATGTTACTCGGGCTTTTTCAGAGGCAGGACATTTTCTGGGGGGAACATTCATCAACTGATTAGCCATGGGGTCAATTCCGAGGGGTTTCGAGCAAATCGGCGTTTCCTATTTTTTTTATAGTTTTTCTTGCGGTTTCTTTTTTTTTCATCTTATTTCAAAATTTGTTGGATTTCATCTCCCCCATGGTCCGTTGGAGGTTTCACTTGATTATACATAATCTTAGCTGCTGGGCGACATAGCGCGCGGTTTTCAACGTCAAAGGTCTCTTAAAAACTAGCGCCGCGTGTAAAGCTTTTGTGTGAAACAACTTTGGGCAGGGCCAACGCACTCGCACTGTGCCATGCACATGCGATGAACTGATGAATTTCAATAGTCAGCCTCAATAGGGTGCATCCACGGTACGTAGCACCCACACCTGAATACTTAAGTTTTGAAGTACCGATACGCCCTTATACCTTCATACATGTACACTGTACATGTACCCCTCAATACGTACATGAATCAGCATAGGGGAAAAAACAGTCTGTGAAATTTAGGCCTATGTACATGTATGTGACGCATAATTGTAACTGCCCCAGGCTCCGGCTGTTCACGAGAGAGGGCTTGCTAGCGTGGGGGAGCTACAACTGGGTGGGCAGACATCGACAGTGGTTGTTTCGACCAGAGAGCAAGGAACATAACGGTACCTGCCGACAATGAAGAACGAGGTAAAATAGCGCCTGGTATTGTTCGTTCTTGTTAGGCATATTGGGCTTATTTTTATTCGATAGAAGCCTCTTGTGGCGCCACTTGTCTCAGTCTAACTATAGCGAAAATTATGTACTACGGGATGGCCTTCTTTTGCAGCCGCAATGGAGAAAAAGACTTCCTTCCGCCATGCGGCTGCTAAACGGTGGTTGGCCCTACTACTTATCAAAAACTTCACATCATCATAAACTTCATAGTGTGTATGATGCGAACGTTTGTTCTTAATCAAGTTAATCCTTTGACAGTCGAAGATTTGATGATTAGAAAAATGTCAAGACCTCGGTTGTTGATTAGGGATGCAGTTGAGACCATCAGTTTCCCCATTCATACTAAGCCTACCCTAACGTTCCACTACCAAGGGGCTCCTTTCATGCCTTTTGCCTTCAACTTGAGTGGGTGGATAAAGTTTGCAGAATTGTCACCTTTTGGTTGGTTTTCAATTTTACCTCCAATTTTTTAAAAATGGACATATATGTCCATTAATTTTAGATAGGCTTGTATCAAGGCAGGAACTTCATAGGGGCATCTGAGGCAAAATTACCTTTATGCCCCTGGTCTTTGCCTCAGTGCATATAAGTGCCCCAGTAGACTAGTTGATTTCTTAATACAAGTGCCCTCAAGTTGGTGAAGGAGAAATTGCCTTGCCCTTTCAATAACAAAGTTCCAGCCCTATTGTTTTTTTATTAGGTATTTAGTAGTACATGTTTATCATCGGACATTCTGATAGCTTTGTTGGATTTTAACACTTTGTGAATGCATTCCATTACTTTTGTATTGAAGGCCAACCACGGATTTGGCAGCCACTCTAGTAACAAACATGACTGTGACATCAAAAAAAGCAGACTCTATTAGGTGGATCCTGTAAACAGGGATTCTTTGATTTGCTTGGGCGAGGATGCCAAGTGCCCGGCCCATTATTGTTCACCACTAATGTCCAGTCCACATAGTCCCAAACAAATGATTCTTGCTCATTCTTTTAGCTTTGAAATGAATTACGTGTACTTAGATCCAATGTGGCCAGTGATTGCTACCTGTAGCTTAATTTCTGTTCATAAAATGTCGACTCCCTACTACACCCTTAACCTTAACCATCATCAATACTTCAAAAATCCTCCAGGCAGTTCTGGAGGAGGATTGATCATAGGAGCATGTCAAAATTGGATTGCTCAGCCATGCATAAATTCATGCCCACATTATATGTAAAATCCTCCGTATTGCTCCAGGATTTGTACCATTCACACTGCCTCAATACAATCGAGAGAAATTTTGGAGGATTGAGGCTGTATCCAATTTTTTCATGGAGGCAATTGGAGGATTTTGAAGGATTGATGGTGTATCCCAGCAAAAAGGGCGTAGGCAGTTTAATACAGCACTAGTGTTTTGGCTGGGAACACCACTTTTGTTTTCATTCATAGCACAGTTCATGCCCATGAATTTTCTGTGGTCACTGGCTCACAGACATAAAGTCAACATCAGTGGATCATAATGCACACATGTTCTCTTCATCACCGGTTCCTCACAAATGATCCATTTGTAGTACACATACAGTAATAGTAAAAGCTGTTAAGTGACTGTACAAAATGGGGGTTTTGACATCAAGAGCAAGCACGTTTGGTGGCCATTATTCATGTACATGTATGTCACTGTCTCTTTAAACATAGACCATGTTACAAAATGAAATGCCTCACTACCCATGGGGGAAATATTTCTTTTAGAACAGCAGAAAATATGTAAATTTGATATATCTGTTAAGAAATATTGATAGGTAAGTTTAAACATTAAGTTACACATGATTTATTTTTATGACATAAAGTTATTTTAAAAATTGTTTAATATCAGCCAGTACTTACTGTACCAGAGGAAAGTATGAATTAAACTGAAAGTGGATTGGTTAGGTTACTGGTAGATGTGCCTAAATTCAGAGTGCAGAGTGAATTGGTAGCGTGCAATTCAGTTTGAACTGCAACAGTGGCAATATTTAAACTGGAAAATGTAAAGACAAATGACAAAGTTCAGTTACAGTTGAAAATAAGTAAGACTACAAATGAAGAAAATATGTTGAAATAAGATTATTAAAGGATTATACTGGTGAATGAAAATGAAGAAGACATTATAAAAAAATCTAAATGAAATGAAAGTACAAGTATTTCACCTCAAATGATGATCTATAATTGCTACTGGGCATGAAACAGACAACAAATTTAAAAATTCAAAATGAACATTGATCCCTAATCATCCCCAGGTGGTGTACTTTATAACTGTTTTTTCAGGTTGCAGTGTTGTACTCAAAGGGAGGGAGCGAGAGGGGTGCTTGAGCTCCCCCAAGATTTTTTTTTTCTTTCAGAAAAATGATGAAAGTGTACAAGCATATACATCCTTCACCTTAAACAACCGCAATAGCTCTGATAACCATGTAGAGCTTTAAACTTTAGCCCCTCAGCGTGCCACAAATGTGGACTTGATGATGATGCAAGCTCTTTTGGGGGTAAATTTCAGTCTGAGTCTCCCCTCCCACCCTGTGTGGGCCACTGTTAGGCTGTAACAATATAATTTCACCATTCCAGTGTCTGTAGACTTGTATGAAGTTAATTTTGATCCGTGAATCGATCTGTGATAGACACTTTTCTGAATACAGTGACGTCACTAGAGTGGATTTCTCCACATACGAACATACATGTACCAGCACTACAGGTGTGAATGTGCTGGCAGTTTCCATTCATGAGTATAATTACTTGGTTATTTTCCTTGTAGCCACCTATGCAAGAGTTGAAGTGTGCAGACAATGAAGAGGGGCCTTCACCTCAGGAAAAAAGCCGGCCAGTTTGGCACTCAAAGGCCGAATTCTTTCTTTCCTGCCTTGGCTATGCCGTGGGCCTCGGCAACATTTGGCGTTTTCCATACCTGTGCTTCGAGAATGGAGGAGGTGAGCCATGCTGTAGTGTACTGAAATTATTTACTGAGCACACTTTTTTTGTTTTCACCCAAAGGTTGTTACCAGTATGTTGAATGACCGAGACAAAAGGAGGCAACTCTTGCTTGATTTTATTGATTTTAAGAAATGCTTCATCCACAATTTACTTGTTGGAATAGGTGTGGTTGATTGATTTGGAAACAGTAACTGGCTGCCATTGAAGACAATTCACAAATGCATTTGTCTTATCAACGGATTTTGTTTTTAATGTACATAATCCGATCCCACCAGCCATGGTCAAATTATGACAAATACAGAAGTCTCAAGGAGAGAAATTGATTCACACATGGAACACATGCAGCATCATGAATAGGCCTTAGAAAATGCCTAGAAATTATGTATGTACACCAACAGTCAATGAAGTGTGCTGCCACATTTCACATTCTGGTTCAGTGGTTTTTACTAATAATTTAAGGACATCAATCAAGTGAAGCCCGAATCAACAGTATAATTACTATTAATTTAAGGACATCAATCAAATGAAGCCCAAATCAACAGTATAGGGTCGAGCTTCTTTACAGGCCCCAAGAAATGTTGGATTTTAGATTCTCTGTGGTGCGATCTTAGGCAATTCAGTGCCCCTTTACTTGTTTTTTTTTCAAGTGGTATTGGTAATCATTGTTTCACATTCAAGTTTGGAAGCATTCGATTAAACTTTTATTGTTAGGAGTTGTGGAATCAAACGTAAGTGCACAGTTTTTTATGTGGCATCAGAAAAGTTGGGGGGGGGATGATGTGATATGCCCGACATGTCCCTCCCCCCACCACTGATCGAGGCCCATGTTTTCATCCCATTGCACTGCAGCAACATGGCTCCACTAACATCAGGAGGACACTTTAGCCTAATCTCCCCAAAAAAGGTCTGTATCTAGCCCCCATGATTTTGATTTTCCACAAGTTTCAAAAACATCTGTGTACACATTTAGAAACGACCTTTCCTCAAACATTTCTGTTTTTCCAGTAGCTTACCATGCTGAACCCAACAAAATTCTAAATAATTTTAATGATACCTGGGTAGGTTTTGTACAAACCTACAGAAGAACTGTATTTTCTGTGAAGTGTTAGATACCAGTATATGTTCATATTGTTCAATAGAAAACCAGTTTTAGTGTTGAACAACCCCCCCTCCCAAATATTTTTCCTGTTGTATGAATAGTACATGTAAGATCACTTTTGCCCGGAATACTAGTCACCTTCACTCACAAAGTGTGTAAAGCGTGTACTGTGTTCATGTCAGATACAATATTATGACATACGTACAGAGGTAATTTGCTTTCTGAAAAAAAGCCAAAATTTGAGTTCACAAGATTGAGTTGTACATGTACAGTGCATGGAACTTTCTCCTGACAATGGGCAGAACATCATCATCATTGAGTTCCACCAGTTCTTCTTAGAACTGCACTTCACAAAATGGAAATTGCAGATGGTTGTCCGTGGCCCTGGCCCCTTGCTCCGCAATCGAAGAATACATGTGACACCACTTTCATGTGCATCCCCATAAGTACTACCGGTAGTACTGGTGACGGAATGTCATTTTGATTGCTTGGTTTTTCCCATCCCCAAACACTGAAAATGTCAGTAAATTTCAAGGTGCTTTTTAAACCAACTTCACGCTGGAGCATGTGTATACACAATTTAAACAGGCTAATCCCCCAGTAATTTGTTTTATGCACACACGCATAAATCTGCAAAGTCTTTGTATTTGGACTGTACTTGTAATTGAGCCTATGAGGCACATGTAAGTATATTTCCACTCTGTGGGTATCGTACTTGTGAAAAATATGAGGTTGCAATTTATATCATACTAATTGTGTTCATTTTAACAAAATTGTTACAAATTAATATTGGTTGTGTTTGGCTATATATCAAAAGTTGGCTGCTATGCGGTACCTTGCCCTTTTGTGAAAGTTGAAATTTTCAGTCAATAACACCGTGCGTATACTCGTACCAGTCCATCAGAAACGGCAATTCAATTTATTATTATTGATCAATGACCCCATACCTGAATGAGATACCTGTACATGGTAGATGCATGTATCAGTGCTTCAACAACTCTTGGATTTCTTTGACGACCCCTTAAATCTCTGTCAATGTTCAAATTTTCTTGTTGACATTAGAAGTGCAGTTGCAGATAAAGTGTTTCGTTTGCTCTTGTGTTGCCTGGATAAAGTGGGTTCAGCACAAATACTGTTTGCCAGTTATGCTCAGCAAACTTTGCAAAAATAAACACAATTTCTAAGTGCCAAGACAATGCCAATAATACAAATTGTTTATAACAAAATGGGTTGTAAAACTAAAAGTATATGCACCGGGGAATACAAAGAAATGAACAGCCACCAACCACAGATCTGAAGAACTAATTAACAATTCACGGATTACTTGGAAATTAAATCCATACTTTCCATCTGTACTAATTAATCCATACTTTTTCGATCTCAAATGCATCTACACAAATGCGACATACCAGGAGTGCACGATCCTCATTAGTACCACATATACATGTAACTGTTGCTTCTGTCCCAATTTGGAAAACAGTCTTACAGTAGATCCAAATGTACCCCAAATGTGCAGATACCTACATGCTGGTCAACATTCCTTCCACTGCAACTGTGTTCCTGGTAGAAGAAAATTTGTTAGTTGCCAGAGAATAGTGACTCTCTTTCTCAATTTTATCTCATCAATATTTTGAGTGTGAATACTGTGCCAGAGTCAGACAGTGTAGTTTAGAAAATGTGTCATTTTACGTTAGTTTAATAGACATACACGTACATACTACATGTACGTTAAAACTTACAAAGAGACCCCAAACCTCTTTTTGGTCACTCCAGTTATAAGCACCCATCATTTTTACACTGTTTTACACTGTTCACACAAGTGATTACAAGTTCAGTGCCGACCTCATTGTAAATGGTGCAGTCTGGCCAAACGTCAGTTTACATGTACATGTAAGCTAACCCCCAACTGTTTGCTCGGTAAGTCCTGTGGAAGAAACTACCTGAATGCCCTTCTGCCAGTCACAGGACAAAATTATGAGCATGTACATGTAGATTTATGACTGAATGTGATAAAATAATGCCGGGGACAAATAATCTTGCATGAAATTGTTCATTTTTCACTCACTCTTATTCGTACATGAAATCATTCTTTACACAGGTGTGCTTCATTTAAGCACCGGAGATGTACATGTACACACACTTCTTTTTTCTTGCTGCCTCATTCTCCTTTACACAGTCTTTGTTTTATACACATGGACGTGAAATAAACTAATACGAAAGCAGCAAAAGTAGCTTCTGTACATTATTCTCAGACACAAAATAAAGGATACATTAACCCTAACTGCCAAGCATATTGTTTGGCTCACAGTACTCAGTACTACAAAATACTAAGTAGTAGCCTGAGCCTGAAGGACCTAGCGCTACAAATTACTACTGGCTAGGTTACTTCCATTGTTACTCGTACAGAGAACAATTGTATTTTGTGGCTTCAGAGAACAATGCGGTCATGTCCTCTTACAAGCGGCAGCACTGATTACTACATTTTACTACAAGTAGTAATTTGTAGTATTATGTAGGGTTAGGGTTAATTACACGTAACATGAATTTGCATTGGGTTTGGCCCGTAAAGAGCGACTGCTGAACCCAAGGGGTTCCAGATCTTCATTCTGAACCTTCTGCAACAGTCAATCTTTCAACATCCCATCAGGGTAATCACTCCTGAGTGGTTCAGACATTGAACTTTTCAGGTACGTGTACATGTACTTCAAATCTCTGGATTAAATTGATTTGGTATAATTCTTGCAGTCTAAACTTGGAGTAACAGTGACAAACTTTTGTTTTATTGTGGAGGGTTTTGTTTTGCTGTTTCTTTTTTCTGTTTTTGCTGTTAATAGTGTTCACACATTCACGTTAATCCCTTTGTCCATTACTTGATCAGGTGCCTTCCTAATTCCATACGGTCTCGCCTTGGCAGTTGCCGGGATGCCAACATTCTTCCTGGATCTTGCCTTTGGCCAATACAGCAGTCTTGGGGCCATCTCAGTGTGGAGGTGTGTTCCATTGATGAGAGGTATGAAGTTTTGTAGGCTGTAAGTAGTTCTTGATCATAGCAGGCCTACAGGAGCTACAGGGTACCACCGTAACCCATATAATTAAATGCATCCAAATCTGTAGGGTCAGTTTTTGTACATGCACATGTAGGTTTTACAGCAGTGGGTAGGGTAGAGCTCTTCCACTGTAACTGAACATTGGAATACACCTCTTGAAAGTTTATTGTGAGAATGTGCCACCAGTTTCTTGCAATATGAAGATTTTTATAGCAACAATGCCTGCAGAAGTCTTATCCAATATACCACTGCCGCTTGCTGAATTTTCAGGAATGGATTACCATTGACATCTGTTACCAGTACCTTATCCAAAAACGTGCAAATGCTTGCATTCCAGTGTATAAAAAAGTGGTTTGAATTTGGTAATATAAAGTATGCCAAAGCAGCATGTTTAAAAATGCATTCAAAGATACAATCCTCCCACCTTTCCTATCACAAAACCGTCTCCCAGAGACCACAGTAACTAAGGATTGGAAACCATTTATTTGCAAAGTCTTTATAAGTGTTTGTACGCATGCAATGTTCAGTTCAGTGTCCAGCATTGTTCTGTCGCTCTAACAAAGCACTGCAATTTTACAGCCACGTTACAGTTAACTTATTGGTAGTGCCTACCAGTTTGTAATAACCCACACTAATGGGAAAACAAAATGGTGCCTTGTACATTGCAAAGTGCCAACCTACACAAACCCATGTCGCACACAGGCCTGGGTTACGGCCAGATCTTCATCTCCTTCCTGGTGGGCACCTTCTACAATGTCATCATCATGTACTGCTTCTACTTCTTCTTTGCCTCCTTCACCACCGCCCTGCCCTGGGTGGGCTGCGGCCATGAGTGGAACACGGCATTCTGCAGCGAGCTGGCCAGCGACTGCCTGGAAGCCGGCGGGGTCATGACCCTGGACAATACCTGCGTCGCGCTGGCGAACCTGACGGACGATGAGTTGGACAGCCTCAACATCACACAGGATGGCAACAGCAGCTTCGATCTGTCGGAGTACACTGATCCATTCAGATTGGAGAGGAAGTTTCCCAGTGAAGAGTATTGGAAGTAAGTAAATCATGGTGGTTTTATAAATGCTGTTAGAAACGTTTCAGCAAATTGCCAAGAGTTCTCCACATCTTACCTACATGCATATGATTTTCATTGTTGTAATAAATCTTTTTTGCCAAAGCAGGTCAGCATACATGCAGTATTGGTAACAATTACAGTATGTATCTATATAATGCTATAATACATCTTGCTTGGGACATGCAGTGGACCTCAACCCATGCTGAAGGCAAGCCTTCAAGACTGGAGTATTGCTGCGAATTTGCCCATATTATCTATCATGTCTTACATGTAAACAAGGGAGGATGCCTTGCTGTGCAGCAGTGACATTGTATTTGGCAAACATGTACCACATGCGCACTTGTTTGATACATATACTGTACATATATGCATATAAGGCAATTATATGCAAAATCTGATGCATGCAGAGTATATCATATGTACACTGGTACGCAGTCATGTGTCATGCTAAATGCATGAATAGCCATTCAGTTGTGTGCTGTGCATCATTGCACCAGCTGAAACAAGTGCTATATACCAGTCTCTTAATGCATGTTTGGTCACTCAAATGTATCATGCAGAAAAGAGTGAAGTTTGGCTTAGTTAGTTACACATGTTTGTACAGAGGTTCTGCATGGCAGCCCTCTCTCTGGTAACTACTTTTGTCGCCGAGGGATAGTACAAAAGGTCTACTCATTTGTATCCCTGTGGAATATGAAGAACTCTGACCAGAGTACAATAGCTGCCATGCAGAACCTCTGTTGTGCTATGGTTCTGAAAAGAACCAGCATGTTCTCGTATATGTACATAGTAAGCATAAAGAAGGAAGAAAGAACAATCATTGTGATAACCACTGGTACCGGAAGTGGAAGGAGGGGACCAGAGGGGCCAGTGGTCCCCCTCCCTTTTTTGACGGGGGATGTCCCCCCCACACACATTTTGCATGGGATGGGACTTAATGGATCGGCCCACATGTATATGCCTGGTGGTCTAACAACTGGCCCCTCCCCACTTTGAAAATTGTTCCGCCGCCGCTGATGAGAACCATACACAAAAGGAGAGCAATTCCTAGCTTTCACAGATGCTTCTCCAGGGTCATGTTCAATATTGCATAGTGTATATGTACTCTACCATATCAATTCATACATGTACAGTAGGTTTTACCAATATAAGGGCAAAGCACTGCTCAATTATATTCCCGAGTGTTTGGTATACCGGTACCTTGAATGCAGTTGAAAGAAAGCATGGCGTCAAACTTTCAAATTGTTGCGAAGGGTTTTACATGTACATGTATTTGATACATTTGAGTGGAACTGCTGTATGGTAATGTACATGTATCTACTGCATGAGTTCAACCTTAACCTCTAGTGCATCGTGGCTAGAAATCCATGAAACAGCGTCATTTGTCAAAGTGGCTTGCCTGTACTGGGTGAAACAAGATCCAACAGGTGAACTCTGCCAAAGGCCAAACATACATGTGTATTTCTGGCATATGTACACCATTGAACTTCCAGTGCCACTTAAGCTGCACACATACATGTAACTCGTAGAAACAGTACACGTACATGTACAGTTATTTGAAATGTTGCCACCTGACTCACCTGAAGTAAATCAGGGTGATTTCAACAATGCAAGATTGGAGATGATGCCATATTACGCCCAATGAGTAAAAAATCCCACAAGGGGAGAGAACATTTTAGACCTTTGCTACATTAAATTAAGCTGCTCTGATAAAAATTAATAAGGCAGTAGTTCGTCCTGGCATTAAACTCTCTGATCACAGCATGGTTGCCCTTATGCCTCAGTACTATCCAAAGCTGAAAAGAGTGAACCCTTTTTTTTAGAAATGTGTGAAGGTCTGGAACTATTAGGCCTATGTTGAACATAAACTGCAAGCTTGTTTTGCCATCAAAAGGTGGGATATACCTCAGGCCCGTTGCCTGATCAGAGACGGGAGGGGCTTGTCAACCCAAAAGTGGGACTTTGGCACTGTGAACACATATTTCTATACAAGGGCTTATCATAATGTGCTAACGAACAAGTTGCATATTTGTCGTGGATGGAGGGATGCATGTAAGACTTGTATACTTCAGTTTTCAATATTCACGGCATGTCGTAATTGCCTTGCATTAATTTGCTTGTCACCAAGTGCCCAAATTGGGTGCTGGGTGATGAGCGAACGGTATGAACATTATTATTAAAAAATCTCAGAAAATCCCACAAAAAATTTCAGTTCTATAAACTTGATCAATTTTAGTACATTATTATTACCTCCACTTAATACTAAAAATTGTAAAAATGCATTGGGGCACATTTAAAAAGAATTCATGTTGCACTTTGGGAAAAAAACAATCAGAAAATTGGGCCAAAATAAAATTTCAGCAGAACTTTGTAGCGGGTATATGAAATTGACATTTATGAATCGGAATATGTGGAGATTGATCAAATTCACCTTTTTTTGAGATTGAAGGTAATGTGTACATGTATTGCTCCATACACAAATGTTAGAAGTGAAAATTCAAAGTGCCCAACGTTAGGGTCCTCGCCACTTTCATGTACTCAGTCTTCAAGGGAAACATGAAGCAGCCCGCAAATGAGTGCTGTCATGAAACCTAAACTGTTTAAGTCCTGGAAATTACCAATTTGGTGGGCTGAATCGGTCGCCTTGCTGGGTAGGCCATGCAGCAGTTCTTTTTAAACAGTTACCAAATAACCAGTGAAACAATAAACAACATGGATTACATGTACACAACTATAAAAGACAAACACGAACAGATCTCACCACACAATGAGGTGTGGACAGTACTTATGGTACATTTATAAGTCTATTCAGTCTCTCCGGACTGGTTCCTTCATTTCCAACACGTGAAGAGAACCAATATGGCCAATGTACGGTAAATGGCACCCAACGAAAATATGACTGCTTTGTCCACACGCCCGGAGTGCTGCGCTGCTTGGACGCGTGGCTGGCTACAGCGGCGGCTCAGGCTACATGTAGGTTGTGCTGAGGCACGCCATTTATTCCTCAATTGTTACCCTATAGGTATAAGCCGCCCCCAGAGTATACACTGCACGGACATGTTTGGCATGAGAATCAACGTATAAGCCACGGCTTACATGTACCGGTATACTCTGAAAATCATGGTATATTAAAAATGTATATAAAGGAAAAAAACCAACGAGCGGACTCTCAGAAGTGAGCCGGGGGGGGGGGGTGTTTGAACCCCTAGCCTACGGGCCTGCACCCTGCTAGATCAGCTTGCAACATAAATGAAGCTATCAATATCATCAACAGTTACTGTACATGTATGTAAACATATACGTGGAGCTACCGTACTTTTGCCTACAAGAACAGTAGAGGTACATGTACATGTTCATGTACAGTATATCGGAAGAACAGGCCTTGGTTAAAGAGGTCTCTGAAAATGGTGCTAGATCAGGAATGAGATGCCTTTAAGAAAGGGATGCCGATAAGAGAGCTGATATCTATCAAGCTTTCAACAGAAATAAAAAGTGCAAAGAAAGCATACAGAGACAAACTACAATGTACAAGTATTTCCATGGCAACAGCGCTAGTGATGCATGACAGTTTGTCAAAAACATCACAGCTCTGTAGCAGAAAGAAAACTAACTCATTCTTAGGCACAGACATTCACCTCCCATTTCAGAATGAATGGAACCAGGTTTTCTGCAGATTTGATATACCCATGACAGAAAGGATCATGGAGGACCAACTGTCTGCCCTGTCTCCAACAGAGGAGCTGCTTCTTACCATCATCACCAAAAGCCATGGAAAAGATTGAATATTTGCAAGGCAACTGGACTTGACAATATTAGTCGCAGAGTGCTGGCGCTTTCATGGGAACTAGCTCTGCCCTTCTCCAATCTACTTCAGCAGCTTGTTGATACAAAGACCAGTGTGCTGGAAATCTGCCATCATTGTTCCAGTCCTGAAGACACTGCCAGCAGTGAAGTGGCATGGCCCCCTCTTTTTGCAGGACCTATAATGGGTGGGGCGCAATGGATTGGCTTATTAATAGCTGCTGCCTGATGGTCTCACAACTGGCCCCCCTACTTTGAAATCTGTTCCACTGCTGCTGCCTGAAGAATGTACTACCGGAACAGTTTAAAGATTTTAGGGCTGTTATATCTACCCACTGCTGCATTATCACACATTGATTAACTGTAGTTTGCATGTCAACAGAACATGTCTGTGCACGATGCAGTTTCAGCGCTGTTGAATGGGATCTTTAGCAACATGCAGATATACGATTGACTGTTTTGCATGAGCTGTGCTTGTTGACTTTTTTTCATTGGTGTTCAAAACCGTCCAACCATGCTATCCTGCAAATAAGCTGCATAATCTCACTATTCAGTGAATCATCACTGATCTTGTGGCTTAGTGACTTTAAATTTCTCCAGGATCAATTCAACATGTTCCAAGTTAAGAATTCCAGTACCACAGAGATGTTTTATCTCCACTTTTTTTGAACACAAATGTTTCCAGTGAAATATTCAGACGGTACAGTCATCGCTGGTTGTGTCCATAATAGTGAAATGGGCAACAAAGTATTCAAACATTTGCGACCTGATGTATGATAATCACCTACAACTGAGTGTGAGTAAAACAAAAGACAGTGTTTCTGATTTCATGTACACAAATGTTCTTGTGATGTAAACATAGCACCTCCCAGTACTACCAACTTTCTTGGTGAGACCCCAAGGATGACACCTGGAGTGGAGGCCAATACTGGGGGGGGGATGGCCAAGGTCTAGACCCTATAGTTCCACTTTGTCACTTTTTTTGGCTGTGCAGGCGGGCTGTCTTGCAAGAGTCGGCATCTATGAATGAGACTGGTGGCCTGATCTGGCAGCTGTTGCTCTGCCTCTTCCTCACCTGGCTGGTGGTCGTACTGTGCATCAGCAAGGGGATCAAGACAACAGGAAAGGTTAGTTCTGGGGTTCCCTTCCACTCTGATTCACCTCAAGACAGAGTTTGTTTACTCTGAGTTTTCCTGACCCCAGTTGTTGGGTTTTTTTTAGGTGGAAATTGGAACCGAATCCTCACGCATTTCCAAATACATGGACATTGGTCAGTTAACTTACCAATAACATGCAAATGTTCCACTAGATACATGTACGAAGCATTTTACCACTGCATGTTCCCCGGTAAATTGCCCCCACACCATGTGACTGCTATGCTCTATAAATGAAAACAAAATCCGAGGCGTTCTTTACATTTTTTTGTTGTTTAATTTTCCCACAAGGATGTACGTGTACGTGTAATTTCTTGAAGCTTCTTCAGGTTTTAGGATCGACCCTCTGAATCATAGGTTAAGTCATTCCAGTTTCGTACAAAACCAAAGCGCAAGATTACATTATCCAAGCCATTTAGGGAAAGAATTCATGCCTGTATTATTGTGAAAAGCCCTGAAAAATCAGTGATATCCTATTCTTGTTATTGTTATAGCCTAACCCTTGTTCTGGATATCATATGGATTTCTCTTCATCCCTCAATCTCTTTACTAAAATGCAAGTTGTGGTTAAAAGACAGCTTCAGAATAATAAACGTTTTTCCAACACATGGCTTTTTCTACACAGTTTCTTTTGATTTGATACTTGTTACGGTACTTGATCTATTTGTATCGTATAGGTGGTGTACTTCACTGCGCTTTTCCCCTATGTGTGTCTGTTTGCACTTCTGATCCGTGGCGTCACGCTGCCAGGGTTCCAGAAAGGCATCAGTTTCTTCTTTAATCCCAAGTGGGAGACGTTGAAGAGACCGAAGGTAAGAACAGATAGGAACCTCCAGCCTTGATCTGCTTGCTACAACTCTCCGTTTACTTCCAAGCCTGATTTTTTTTTGGGGGGGTGCAATCTCCATTTTGTCACCGTATAATCCTTACCCTTTCTGTTCACTTTCTTTGACGACTGCAAACAAAAGGCTAACTTTTTATTTTGTTGTGGACCGTTCTGCACAGGCTCATTGCTGCTTACACGAACCATCGAACCGTAGCTGTTTGTAGAGATATAGAGTAGCACCAGCTTCAGACTTTGGAAACAAAATGTCTGGTTATTATGTGTACAGAAGAGCGACACTGGTGCACACACCTGCCAGTTTGTTTGCAGCAATGATGACACTCATGTCGCAACTCTCTTATGCGCATCCCTGATGTGAACACCCCTACATTCCATCCTTAACCAGTTCATCCGATTACTTGGGGCTTCATTTGTAGCATAATGCCTGTAAATGTGTTTATTATCTAGATTTTTTTTAAAAACATTTTTACGTGTTGAGTATCTCATTTCTTTTTAATTATCGGAACGAAGTGCATAAATGCAATATAGGCCATATCAGATCCAATTAGATCACATGCATGTAAATCAGTGGTACATTGAAGGCCAAGAGATCTGCTGGCACCTGTCATCATGAAGGCATTCCCTGTGTACGCTGCTTGGGGCAAACACATAATCCCGTAGAAATGGCCTGGCTGCTACCAGTGTGAAATGTGTCCAATCCCACCATCTTGAAGGTGGTAGTTCCAATAGAGGGTTTCGATTGTCGTGAGTTTCTGAAACTGTTCCTTAAAGGTTGTACAGGGTCAGAAATCCTGGCTTAGGGTTGTACCCACAAGTGTAGGTAGCCCATACCCAAAGGTGCTTCAGGAGCTAGGAGAGCACTTTCGGGGGAACTTTGGCATGTGTCTCCAATAGAATTAGGCACATAAATTCATAAACAGTGGGGATTGAGCTGTGTACAAGATGGCTGTTTGCCAACCCACTTGTTAAGTCCCGTTGTTCAGTTGTTTTGCATTGATATTAAAAGAATAGAGAGAATGAAGCCATTCAGCTACACCTGAATCAATAACACTTGAGATTGCAACAAGTGACTGGAGCGCAGGACACAGATAAGCAGTTCAAAAAAAATCTCACTGTAAGCATGTCAGGAAGTGGGAGAAGTACATGTACATAATAGTTCCAGCAGGATTTACTTGATTGTCCTTTTTAAGTGGGTGCCTGCATGAGTCGGAATCTGTGAACTGATTTTTGGACTCGTAACTTTGCAACATACAAACTTACTTTTTGAATGAGCACTGTACTGAAAAATGTTAACGTAGAAATTGCCATTTAAGAAAGTAAGAAAATATTAGACCATAGTATAATATACAGCAAGTAATAGTTAATACAGATTTCCTGTAATCAAGGAAGGTCTCATTTTGTGCAAGTTTTAAAGGATATATACACTTTTGTCATTCCGTTACCCCAATTTAATCCTTTGAGTGTTACATTTTAATTAACAAACAATCTTTTTAAATGAATGGTACCACATGGGAACACAAACCTCACTGGTTGTATTTAAACACTGTTGATCAAAGTTGCATGAAACAGTTCACATGTTGACAAAATGTATGTCACTTCAAATGGTAATGTTTATTTTAGCATCATTCCATTACTGACGTCATTGACATTCTCATAGTAAATGTACTTAAAAAAAAAAATAAGTGGAACTTTAGGCTGGTTGAGACATGTAAAGTACATCATTAGTCTGTCTGTTGTTTAATTTAAAAAAATTGTTTACCTAACACCCATTTAAAGTTTGAAAAATGTATCTGAAATGTCACCCCTTTATCATGGAATTGCCCATATCAAAGTCATTATAGTTAAACATTGAGGGTTGTTGTCACACCATGCTTGAGAAAGCCAAACTCACTTTAATCAAATTTATGCTTAATGCCCCCCCCATCACACCCTGACGACGACAAGGAAGACCCTGCTATGTTGTAAAATTTCCTTAAAACACGGCTATGACAGGGTAAAACTAGGAAGATTGGGTGAAAAATTGTTCTTTCAAGATCACACTTGGTTATTAGCACGTAAAAGACTTTGATATGATTGTACCACGCGTAGTATGGTGTAAAAGATGGTAATACGTTGTTGTAGTGTGTATAATGTGTGTGGTACACTTATGGCAAGCATACCACACACAGACGTAGCCCATCAGTTCTGTGGTTGGAATGGCATAAAATTCTTCCTGAACGAGCTGCTCTTATACCACTGCAATTAGAAGCCACTACGTAAATTTGAGCTTGATCAAACTTTTGGCACAACCTCCCCGTCCATCAAGACCCTACCACATTGTTACCAGTTCCCTCTGAATTCTTGCTACGATGCACAAGATCTCATCATGATTAGCCATGCTCTCCAAATTTCTTTGAGGACTTAATAAGATCGTGTTTGAGTGTTACTAGCATATAAGCCCCCGTGACTGTGTAACTTCAATCAACCAGGATACAGTAACCAGACGGCTCAGGTGTCATGTTAACGTATCATTTTTGTTTGGTCTTTTACGTAATTGCATTCAGGTGTGGTTGGATGGAACTAGCCAGATATTCTTCTCACTTGGGGCAGGCACCAGTGGCGTCTTGACACTGGGATCATACAATAAGTTCCACAATAATTGCTTCATGTGAGTATTTAGAGGTTTTGGTCTTTATTTAATTAAATAAAGATAGAAATAATTACCCCTAAAGGAAAAACTTGAGTCCCGGTCTTCTCCGGCCGCTTCTTGACTCGACAAAACAGTGATGATTTAATATGTACAATAATTAATACTAAGGAAATGTGTCCTTCCGCGGGAACAGTCACCGTAAGGAGAAAACACTGCCTAATTAGAACCTATCCCCGCATCTGGACACAAGTTGAACTAAGAAAAAATGGCTGCGAGATGGAGTAGTGGACCAGTGACTTGTGGAAGCTCGGCTGCACAGCGAAGAAGTATGTATGGTGCATTCTGCATGCAATAAGCTTTTATATTTACTTTGCTGGAATGAAGAGCCCTACCCTGTCCATTGAATTTAATTATAAAAGCCACAGGTCTGAACAAAGAGGGGGGTTAACCGACCTCCAAAAAAGCCAGAGCAGGACTGCAGCGCTAAAGCTGTTCAGGAATTCACTACAAGTATACACTACAACTTCCTTCCTATTTACATGTACCTTTAGTCTGTTCTTTTTCTATTATTAGACAGTATCTAGCTCTCTACAAATGTAATCGCAACAAATTGAATTTTTCTTAAACCTTGTCCTTAAAATAAGTGTTAAGTACATGTACAAGTGTTTTTCCCCAATAGGTCATTATAATATGCAGTACATACATTGAAGCATTTGATGTAACTTTATTCAGTTTTGCTGAATTGCAAATCCGAACAATTCCAATGGAAATCACAATCACAGCAACTCAGAATGAATCTTGTGGCATTTAGTTACAAATTATACACTTTGCATATCCCTATGGGGACATATTGTACATTCTTTCCAAGGCATACAAATGTATAGTATGTGTCACCTTTGTCCCCGGCTGTAGCTACCTATGGTTTGTAATAATTAAGCGTTTGATAAACATGACAATAGGGAACTGAAAATTGTTCTTGACTTCAGTTTGTTTAGAAATAATGAACATTATTCGTTTAGTCCTGCTTAATAGACAAAACTGATTTGAAGTAAAAACTTTCCCAAATATAATTCCAAGTTGCTTCATTTCACATTTCACACCCAAGTGCTGCTGTTGGGCTGTGCCTGATTGGGGTTTCTGTTGCTAGAAGTAACTAAGGTCCCTTCGTCAAGAGGTGGCTTATTGTCCGGTGAGTTGTACTCTTCATAATCCTGGTCAAACACGGCACTGTCTTCCTCATTGTATTCTTGGTTGTCTTGCCCTGTCAATAGATGATACTAGTGCCTTAAACATCTCTCATGTAAGCTGTGGAGTTTGGTGGGTAATGAATCACATTTGGGGGCAGGTTTGTGTTGAAATAATCAGTTTGTACTCGAAGAAGGTTTTAGGTCTTGTCCAAACTAGAGGTCTTTTTGTTTTAATTGGAAGTAAAGATTCTTTTTTAAAAGTCCTTGTCTGAAGTGGGCTAGCTGTATTTTATTTTTGTCAAAACTGCACCAGACTACAAAGTCTGATCACAAAATTGCCCTTTTTAAAGGGGAAATATATTTATGCCTCATGTTCTTATAGTTTAATTCAAATAGATTCTTTTCTGTACTCGTCATTTTGTCAAAACTTCAATTGTACCACACTGACCCAATTCCACTGGATAGAGAAGGCTGATTGTGATAAATCAGTTATCTTTGTATGTGTAACATATACACAGTATTTACATGTGTTTGGCCAAATGACGTAAATGAAAAAAACCACAGTGAATGTACAGAACGACAGATATTACAATAATTTTTAGTTACAGTCCTACAATATGCACATGAATGTACTCTTTGTGTTAGATGAATATCTGTCAATCTTGGTTGCTCCCGATATTGACAAAGCTGGCTCTCGACTTGTGTATTACCTGTATGCCTCAGTGCTTGTTGTTCATCTCTCCTTTGCATCGAAAAGTTCACAGTGTTGCGGTTCCCGTCCGGGGCATACACCACTGGGTTGCTTTCACCTCCAACATTCAAATTGTGGTAAATTTTCGTTTGAGATGGCATGGTTGGGACTGGGTGGGGCACAAGCATTTGTTGTGGACTACGAACTGTGGCTTGAAGCGGTTTTGGGCGTTTTCTTCCTGGTTGACCTTGTTGGCACGTAAGTTGTCGTTTGGCTGGTTGGCTGTGTTGAGCTTTTGACTTTTTGGCTGGTTGGCCTTTATGAGGTTCTGCAGAATTTTTCTTACGTTTTTGTTTCTGCTGAGAAGCAGGGCCTTTTTTAGCTGGTTGACCTTGTTGGCCAGTAAGATGTCGTTTGGCTGGTTGGCTGTGAAGAAGTTTTGACTTTTTGGCTGGTTGGCCTTTCTGAGTTGCCACAGGATTTGTCTTTCTTTTTTGCTGCTGTTGAGTAGGGGGACGTTTTTGGATTACTGCCTGACGTTTGGCTGGCTTAGCATGGCGAACTTGTTGAGCTGCACGAGCTTGGTGAGAAGCACGGTTTTTGTGGGCCTGTCTTGGCTGACGGTTGTGTTGAGCTGGTCTACGTGGCATGGCTTGATATTAAATTGTAAATCTCTGCAATTTACACATGCAACAAGATTTCATGTATGCAGCTGGAGAAAATGGAATATAAGAGTGTAGGACTTGTGTTAGGTCTGTAAATGAAACAGCCTATTTCAATCACGGAGTGGTGTTTTTGGGCGGGATGGGCTGTGTACATTGCGTAGCCTTACATTACACTAGACTGCCCACAAGGTCAGGTAAACATACATGTACATGTCAATGTAACTGTACACAGGGGATGTTTAGGTAAGCTCCTGTCTTATTTTCACTCCAATTCCTACTTCCAATTTTCACTTTCCGGTCCCTCTTATTCATAAGGTTTGTCTAATTGTCTTACAATTCTGCTGTCTAGGTATGCATTAAATACTCGATTATCAAATTATTTGAATAGTTATTTTGAAAATTTAATAGGGCCGAAAATCTGTGAAATCAGAAGGGAAAATTTCAATTATTTGCTCTCATCCAGTACATGTACATGGCAAGGTGCTTTACAGGAACTGATTTGTATGCTCAACAACAAGGCCAAAAATGTACTTTGCCTTCCAGATTTTCTTTTGTTTCTTTTGTTTGTTTGTATAATTGGTGTATTACCAGGCTGGGACTAAGGGAGCAAATCACCAAAATAGGCCCAAACAGTTGGATTCAGCGCTCCTTGTCTAACTGTGGGACAGATCCTGTCTTGAAACTCAATGAAGTCTACACAACCACCACTCAAACTTCCATATTTTAGGTCTGCTTTTATTTATAAACTCTCCAATATTCAGTTTATTGACTTGACTTGGCCCTACTCCCGTCCTTTTCCCACAGAAATGTTAGTTTCAGGATCTGCCATTGCCTTATCCTTCTACATGTATGTCCAACCCCGTAAAAGATAATTAGCCACAGTACCTTTGTAAAAGAGTCCTTTCAACTGTTTTCCCATTTTCCCCACAGAATCTGAGTGAACCACCTGTTTTTACAGCATTGTTTCATAAATGCTGTGTTTACAGCAAATTAACTTATTATTAAGTAAACCTTCAAAATTTCAAAATGTACATGTAACTTACCTACAGTATAAGCATGCAGACGGTACGAGAATGGCAGTATGAATATATTGCTGAGGTTTGCGCCAGTTGTGTGTCTGCACAGCCCGCCAAAATGTGTCATTTGGAATCGTGCCAAGCTTCCACATCACTGTAGACGAGTACAGACATTTTCATGTTAGCCTGATTGACCTTTCTTACCGGTACATGAACTCATGCGCTTGAAGAATTCAACCTTTGACCTGTCAAGAAGTTTTGAGTGTATTGCACACAATGCATTGTTACATTAGTACTGCTGAATAGTGCTGTCACTCAGCATAATATGCGACTCTGTCAACCAGGATTGGTTTAAACTGGGCAAAAAGACAGGGGAAGTGTATATAATTATGTAACAGTAGACTTTTTTGCACTGGCTCAGGGTTGCTCGTCCCATTACAAAATTTTAAAATAAGAAATTTGGGAATACGTTTGGAGAATTTGAACCATGTTTTCAAGCCCACCAAATATGTAATTTTGGCTGACAAGCTGCTCCCACCTCCGAATCAACTGCTGAAAATTTCACCAGGTTCTGTATGAGCCATGTCATCGAAAGTATGAGTATTAGTAGTGTATCCAGCAGGGGGCAGATTTTTGAGTAAGGCTTGTGATACTGTTTTCTCCCAACAAAAGCTCAAAGCTGCATTCGCTTTTGACTTTGCTCTCCCCCCTCCCACACCAAAAGCTGGATACGCCGCTGACGAGTATAGTGCCCTTAGGCTATTCAGGGGGCTGTGTTTATAACAATTGGTGGGCTTGAATTATTTTTGGAACCAAGAGGAAAACATGAAGTAGCAATGAAACAAAGTTAGAAATAATTATTCACATCATAGAAGGGAATGCCCGGAGAGGATGTTGCTGAATGAGTGGAGTTGCANCTTTCTTATTGGGTTGTTTATGTAGAGTACAATTGCATCCAGATTCTCTGTCCAGCAGAATGTATCTTTATTCCTTTCTTTTCTTTGTTCTGTTCAGTGATGGCACCACCATTGCTTTTCTCAACTCCGCCTCCAGCATCTTTGGGGGGGTGGTCATTTTCTCCATCCTGGGCTTCATGGCTGAGAAGCAGGGCTTAGAAGTTAGGGATGTGGTGTCTCAAGGTGAGGAGTTACAGCAAGATACAAAAGCATAATTAGTTTTGTGGGTTTTTGCATGAGCATTGAATTCATCCAAGTAATTTCCAACTGGCACCCAGGGTAGGCAAATAAATGTATTGGAAAATCTACCAATGAACAGTTAGTAATGTAACATTTGCATGGGCCTATCATAGGCGCCATCGATATCGTATTTTTTTAATATAAGTATTGTCGATATATAATATTTTATTCATTTTAATTTTCAAGGTATTATTACAGGCGTGAATTGCTGGTAAATTGTTCTAAGGGTACACCCCTAAATTGTAATGGTGTGATCCAATTCACTTTGGTGACATGTTCTAGAGTCCGCATAGAGTACGTTGCCTACATGGGATGGGATACACGCTGCTGTGTATAGCAATATCATCAGCATGTGGTGCTCGTCTACGTACGTTTCTTTAGCAAATAATTCCCTGTTTTGGAGGAGAAATTTTGTGATACTTTCGAGGCAAAGTATACACAAATTATTAAGTGCGAGACTAAGATACAGTAGGTGGTGCAGACAAGAAGCGCAACTCCACATCACTACGATACTAGCCAGAATCTTCTAATGGTTGCTTCTGTATAATTATTTTATTTGACATACGGGAACAACGATTCTGAAAACACAGAAACAGAAAGGGGGCTTAATCAGGAATTTAACTCCAATCGATAACTTTAACTATTCGCTTCCCCAGTGACAAGATTAACATAAATTGACATTCTACTAGAATATATTCAACTACGTCCGATACAAATGAACTAGTCGCTAAACCAGATGTCGCCGTAATTAGAATAAAGCTAAAACTAGAATTAGTGGGCCGGTCATGAATAAAACAAACAGAAGACAGAGTGAAAATCAAACCATTGATGTCAGAAAGTTCAGTCTAATTGTGTGTTGAGTGTACAAACCAGGAGTGAATATTCTACCGATAGCCAGACTAAGAGAAATTGAAAGCAAATCTAATGTATTTCTACATTAGCAATCATGAATGCAATCTTATTGTATTGTACAATTTAATCTGTTTAATTCCAATCTTAAATAAAATCATTCCTTTAAATTGTTTCATTTACCTGAAGGGTTTCTTCTCCTGGACTTGTACCGTTCACGGGATACGACGGAATGATTAAAAAACAAAAAGAATTTCATTGTTATTTCGTTGTGCGTGGACGCATGCTTTGGGGCGCTCTTACACAGCAGTCCAGCTGTTATTCAATCCAGTAGGTGAATGAAGTTATTCTTGAAATGTCACTGTAGAAGCCACCCGGAGTGTAAGGTACAGGAACATTTTTCATTCAGCATGAGAACCAACGTAAGCCATGGCTTATTGAAATTACGGTAATGTGATGATGCACTTTCATATTTTTTAATAAAGTTTGTTCCTCAGTAGTGATATTTTCGAGGTATTTTTCAGTATTGATGTTTTCGAAGTTAAGATATTTTCGATATATCAATATTACCAAATAACTAACATTAGCTATATCAATATCAAACCCACATCAATAATATCGGTATATGGATGGTGCTTAGCCTATCAGTGCAGTGTGTGGTGTCATGGTTGTTGTACAAAGACAAAATTCTTAGACCAAGTTTGATAAGTGACTGTGGACCACTGTTCATTTTGCCCCGGTAACCCATGCACAAAGTGTATCCTGTACTGTACCAGGAAAAATCAACCAGGGGTGTTTTGGGGACAATCACCAAAAACATGTTTCTGCTATGGTCATTGTTTAGGCATTGTTGCAACTTTGGTTGTACCTGTGTGACATTGTTCCAACTGGGTTGTCTCCAAAATAAGTGAATTATGCATCCCTTAATTTGTTGGTGCATGTGGTGAGCTGAAAGGGGTACCCATACTTTCTTTTAGAATGTGCAGAGAGAGAGCAGTAGCAGTGTGAAACTTGTTGAATATTGAGCAAAATTAACGTTTGTCAACAATGTCATCTGCTACCTCATACATGTATGTTGTCTCTCGCGGTTGATGTGAGCGTTTTGTGTTTCTGCCTTTTTTTTGCGGTCTCTCTGAAACATGTTTGGTTGTTGTTCCTGCAACATACCCCAGTGGTTAACTTACAGTCACCGATTGTACTTTGGGGACACTGTCAGATGAAGCCCCATTTTGCTGTGCACTTGGCACCTCAAATGAACACCCTACAGTTTTTGTTGTGCACTTTCGAATGAAAATTAGCCAGGCATGCTGTGCTGCATGGGTCATTATGTACTATGAATTGTATTCAAAAATATTTTCCTCATTTGAATATGATTTTTTGACAGTATTGAAAGGACTACAAAGAGAATCATGATGTTAAAAAGTAATGGTTTCATAGTTTGATTGGCAGAAACTGTTTAGCTTGGGCATTACAATCCATTCTCAATCAAGTTTTACTTGTTGATGATACTTTTGGCAAATGCGGGCAATTCACAATAGTGCGCCACCAAGAGTTTGCAATGTGTTGGCCAATCATAATGCGCGAAATCTGTCGACCCAATGCGCCTTTGGAAAGGGTCGGCGAATTTCGCGCGTTGTGATTGGCCAACGCGTTGCAGACTCTTAGGGGCATACTATTGTGAATCGCCCGTATTGTCCCCCAGTGCTGACACCTAGAATGGGAAAATGCAGTAACACAGAGAATCTGAGCGACCCGTTACAAACTTGAATATATGTTTCCAAACTGCGTTGACAATTGCTAATGGAGGGAGTTTGGAGAATGCCACACTGTCTAAACTTTGTTTCTCTCGCAGGCTTTGGTCTTGCATTTATCGCATATCCCGAAGCTGTCAGTAAGATGCCGGTGGCGCCTGTCTGGTCTGTTCTCTTTTTCTTTATGCTCATCACTGTTGGCCTTGACAGTCAGGTATTTGTTTTTGCTTTTATATCTTTTGTAAATTGTATTCATTGAGGCAATTCCATGGTAAGGTTGGTAAGGCAACATAAATAAAATAGCATCATTCAGATACCCAACGCATTGACATTTATAATCGCTTAAGCGAAAGCCTTTAAAAAAAAATTCAATTCAACTTGAAGTTGATGCCAGAAGTAGTAAATCATTGTTCCCCTTTCTCTTTTATTCGAGAAAGTCTTCTCAGAACATCACTTTTGACTTGCGTCAAAATCNCCTTCTTATTGGTTTCTTTATGTCGTGTACAATTGCATCCAGTTTCTCTGTCCAGCAAAATGTATCTTTATTCCTTTCTTTTCTTTGTTCTGTTCAGTGATGGCACCACCATTGCTTTTCTCAACTCCGCCTCCAGCATCTTTGGGGGCGTGGTCATTTTCTCCATCCTGGGCTTCATGGCTGAGAAGCAGGGCTTAGAAGTTAGGGATGTGGTGTCTCAAGGTGAGGAGTTACAGCAAGATACAAAAGCATAATTAGTTTTGTGGGTTTTTGCATGAGCATTGAATTCATCCAAGTAATTTCCAACTGGCATCCAGGGTAGGCAAATAAATGTATTGGAAAATCTACCAATGAACAGTTAGTAATGTAACATTTGCATGGGCCTATCATAGGCACCATCAATATCGTATTTTGGCGGATACAGATATATCATTTTTTTAATATCAGTATTGTCGATATATAAAATTTTATTCATTTTAATTTTCAAGGTATTATAACAGGCGTGAATCGCTGGTAAATTGTTCCAAGGGTACACAATATAATGGTGTGATCCAATTCACTTTGGTGACATGGTCTAGAGTCCGTATAGGGTACGTTGCCTACATTGGATGGGATACACGCTGCTGTGTATAGCGATATCATCAGCACATGGTGCTAGTCTACTTACGTTTGGTTAGCAAATAATTCTCTGTTTTGGAGGAGAAATTTTGTGATACTTTCGAGGCAAAGTATACACAAATTATTAAGTGCGAGACTAAGATACAGTAGGTGGTGCAGACAAGAAGCGCAACTCCACATCACTACGATACAAGCCAGAATCTTCTAATGGTTGCTTCTGTATAATTATTTTATTTGACGTAGGGGAACGACAACATTCTGAAAACACAGAAACAGAAAGGGGGCTTAATTAGGAATTTAATTCCAATCGATAACTTTAACTATTCACTTCCCCAGTGACAAGATTAACATAAATTTACATTCTACTAGATTATATTCAACTACGTCCGATACAACTGAACTAGTCGCTAAACCAGATATCGCCGTAATTAGAACAAAGCTAAAACTAGAATTAGTGGGCCGGTCATGAATAAAACAAATAGAAGACAGAGTAAAAATCAAACCATTGGTGTCAGAAAGTTCAGTCTAATTTGTCTGTGTGTCGAGTGTACAAACCAGGAGTGAATATTCTACCGATAGCCAGACTAAGAGAAATTGAAAGCAAATCTAATGTATTTCTGCATTAGCAATCATGAATGCAATCTTATCGTATTGTACAATTCCAATCTTTGAAGAGAGAGAGCTGTAGCAGTGTGAAACTTGTTGAATATTGAGCAAAATTAACGTTTGTCAACAATGTCATCTGTTACGTCATATGTTGTCTCTCGGTTGATGTGAGCATTTTGTGCCTCTGCCTTTTTTTTTGCGGTCTCTCTGAAACATGTTTGGTTGTTGTTCCTGCAACATACCCCAGTGGTTAACTTACAGTCACTGATTGTACTTTGGGGACACTGTCAGATGAAGCCCCATTTTGCTGTGCACTTGGCACCTCAAATGAACACCCTACAGTTTTTGTTGTGCACTTTCGAATGAAAATTGGCCGGGCATGCTGTGCTGTATGGGTCATTATGTACTATGAATTGTATTCAAAAATATTTTTCCTCATTTGAATATTATTTTTTGACAGTATTGAAAGGACTACAAAGAGAATCATGATGTTAAAAAGTAATGGTTTCATAGTTTGATTGGCAGAAACTGTTTATCTTGGGCATCACAATCCATTCTCAATCAAGTTTTACTTGTTGATGATACTTTTGGCCAATACGGCGATTCACAATAATGCGCCACCAGGAGTTTGCAATGCGTTGGCCAATCACAATGCGCCGAAATCTGTCGACCCAATGCGCCTTTGGAGAGGGTCGGCGAATTTCGTGCGTTGTGATTGGCCAACGCATCGCAGACTCTTAGGGGCGTACTATTGTGAATCGCCCGTATTGTTCCCCAGTGCTGACACCTAGAATGGGAAATGCACTAACACAGATAATCTGAGCAACCTTTACAAACTTGAATATATGTTTCCAAACTGGGTTGACACTTGCTAATGGAGGGAGTTTGGAGTATGCCACACTGTCTAAACTTTGTTTCTCTCGCAGGCTTTGGTCTTGCATTTATCGCATATCCCGAAGCTGTCAGTAAGATGCCGGTGGCGCCTGTCTGGTCTGTTCTCTTTTTCTTTATGCTCATCACGGTTGGCCTTGACAGTCAGGTATTTGTTTTTGCTTTTATATCTTTTTTTAATTGTATTCATTAAGGCAATTCCATGGTAAGGTTGGTATTGAGGCGACAAATAAAATAGCATCAATCAGGTACCCAACGCATTGGCATTTATAATCGCTTAGGCGAAAGCCTTTAAAAAAAATTCAATTCAACTTGAAGTTGATGCCAGAAGTAGTAAATCATTGTTCCCCTTTCTCTTTTATTCGAGAAAGTCTTCTCAGAACATCACTTTTGACTTGCGTCAAAATCTGTAGTTACCATGGAACTGCCCATTTATTTCAGTAGATTCCTTCAAATTGCCTGTATCGCAGCAGCATAGAAAGCTGAACTAAAGAACTTTTAAGGTGATGAGATAGATGGCTCGGCCAAAGCCCTCAGGGATATTAGATTGGCACTACATGTTCAGCAAGTACTTATAATCTCTGTGCAAAACTATGAGCCTTGTTTGAAACATGCAAAGCATGACTACTCTGAGCTTCCATATCAGAAGAAAAAGAGGGGGCTTTGTTACCTAGAAATGATGTCTTTTGAATCTGTCTCACCATCTGTGTGTAGACTTTATTGTTTTTATTCCGTAGCCGGTGTGGCCTTTTCAACACGTATGTGTGTTTTAGGAAAAATGGAAAGGTACTAATTTTCTTGCACTGTGAGCATTGTTTTGCTGTGGTTTCCTTATGCTGATTTCCACAACATTTCCTCCTTGTTTTGTGATAGATATCCCTGACATTGAATTGTCTCCAGAACTGTTTCGTGGAAATAGGGAACATCCTATCGTAGCATAGTCAGCCGAGCCTCTCACTTTGCCACCAGTGAAGGGCTACATGTGCATAAAGTCCATTGTATGATTTTTGTTTTCTGCTCCATTTCTGCTGGGTAAACTCTTTTGCAGACATTCCTTCCACATACATGTAAAGTTACCACAGTTTGGTGCTTCAGTTTCTGCTGTGAGTCATTTGAAGGGTGACTTCTGACTGCCCGGACTAACATTTGCCTCTCTTTCCTCAATAGTTTGTTATCATTGAGAGAAGCTTGACGGCCTTGACAGATGAGTTTCCCCTGTGTCGGCACCATCGTCAGCTAACCACTGGGGCAGTCTGCCTATCGCTATGCCTGATTGGAATGCTGTGTGTGACTAATGTGAGTATCCTCACTATCGTGTGGCCCACTGGTTGGAAGAATATGTATATGAAATGACAGCATTGTATCGATGGTCGCATTTGGCCCACTTCATTGTTGGTGCTGTTGGAAGAGATGAAAGAGTTCACACTAGTAGCAAAGTGTTTCAAATTGCAACTCTTTCATAAATAAATATATGACTGCACCTGGACTTTAAACAAGAATTTAACTTTTTTAAACCCAAACTTGATACTTTTTTTGATTTAACGTGTATTTCCATATTGCAAAGTACATTTGCTAAATTATACAGATCAACAAACAAATGATTTGACAAAAGACTAGAGTAATAATGAGTAAGATGCAGATCTGCAGAAAAGGGGCCATACTGAGGCATAATTCAGAAGAGAAAATCTTATACAGAAATGCCTTATTAATACAAAAACAAGACAAAAAATGACAAATTATTCAGAGAAAAGACAAAAGCGAGATGATGAAGACAAAAAAGAAAACATACGAGCAAACTGAGATGTACTGAGAGCTAGAAATAAGAGTATGTGATGCACTTAGTAATCAGTATAGTGTCATCGCGTTGAAGTTTCTAAGGGGGCATCCTATGGGCGCCCCATTTCAAGGGGTTACTAAAAGTAAACTAACTGTAGCACGTACATTACTATATTTCAAATGGAGGGCACAGCACCCCCCCACCCCAGCTGTTTGCCACTGCTGTCACCAACATCCTGTTGGACAACACACTTGTGTGCCTTCACTACTCTGTGCACAGTACATAACTGTGGAGGACATGCTTCAGTCATATTGATGTTGATTTGTCAATGTCTTCACAGGAGTGCTGAGTGGCACAGACATTGTGGCATCCCTTTTTTGTTACCGTTAAAGAATGTACATGAAGGCAGTTTTACTGGAGAATGTGCGCTCCTGACGTGGCAAATGCACACAGGCAGGGATGGCTGATGATGGTTTACATCGTTCAGCATTGAACATTGTCCGAATCTCCCTTTTGGGGGGATGCACAGTGTCCAGAAAGTCTGAGATGGCAGACTGTGTTGAACTGGACCACTGTACACTATCTGATGCTGTGTAGCAACTAACAACTATCACTGCTTGTCAGCATCTCCAAGTGTTGCAAGATATGAGACCGCAGTTAGAAAAACTGTAAAATTTTGGGTGTTAAGCTGATGCATCCTTTCTTTTTCAAAAGTCAGGTTTTTGGGCCCAAAATAGTACAGGCTGTAAGTAGTGAAGCCTCAATTTGTAGCTAAGCTTTAGTCTGATTTATCTTAAGATGCTATCCCTTTTTGGGACTTACTCTTTATATGTCTGCATGAACTGACACCTCTCCCTTCACCCCTGTCTTCATCCAGGCTGGTCCGTACTGGCTAGCCCTTTTCAATGGCTATGGCCCATCCTACTCCTACATACTGTTCTCCTTGTGTGAGACTCTGGCCCTGAGCTACCTGTATGGCATTCGGCGACTGATCAACGATATCCGCGCCATGATTGGTGACAAGTGGGTGGATATCCCGACCTTCTTATGGTTTCCTGTCTGCTGGTGTTTGATCACCCCTGGTGTTCTTTCTGTGAGCGGTGATGATTATTGTTGTTTAATTCTTGAATCTCGATTCTTGACATTTATTTCTGGCCATCGATGATGCAGAGAACTTCAATTGTATTATAGGTGCACTGCCAAAGGGGCCTTACTCACAAGTAAGCTACACTAAATTGAAAGTCAGGTTAACTTTGGACGTCTGAGAATAATAACAGAAGTGAGACATGGAACCCCAAATGGTCTGACAACACCCTTGTGACAGTGCATAAGATTGATTCTTGGAGCATGATTAAACATGGCTTCTCTTTAAATAGCATTTATTTTAAGTGGAATTGCTCAGATGTCAGCCGCGTTTCCCTCTTTGGAATCATTAGTTGGGATGTTTGTACCTTGATTCTGTAAAAAAAAAACAAAGTGATCAGCCATCTTGAAGTATGGCTGCCACAGATGGGGGTGTTTATACATAGCAATGACTATCCATTGGTGGAAACTCACAGTACATGTGCACAGGTTTTCTGCACATTTGGCATGGGATACACTGAGCATGCACAATCAATTTCAGTTTGAATAATGCATGTACAGTGTCATCTTTCATGTGTGTGTACATTGGGGAAAGGGCTATGGTCGTAGGCCCAGTTGAAGAACTTGCCACTAGCCTGTCTCCTCTTTTTGGGTCGCTCACCAAAGGGGCCCTGATGGGTTGCCCCCCTTCTGCAAGCGGCTGCCCCCCCCATCAGCAAAAACTGTAAGCATCAAAATGATACATTCTTGTGATGTACTGTGATCCCCCAATGCCTGAAGATGCAGTGATGAGGCTGGATAGGGACATGGCCTGGATGAACTCTTTTATGTTCAGCTGCACCAAATCGTGCCCTATTTAATAGTGGCTGCCATTTTTCAAGGAGGCTCATTACACTTCTAACTAAAATCTAACCAAACATATAACTTTTACAAACTGTGTCACATCACATCACAGGTGGCGCTGGTAGGGGGATGGGTATTCCGTAATGACCCGGAGTACAACGGTCCCTTCCCCCCTTGGGCCATGGCCATTGGCTGGTCATTCACGTTCTTTGCCTTCATCGGAATTCCATTGGTCTGGATCAAGGACCTGGTCATGAACAAGGGAACCCTGTATCAGGTAAGTCAGTGGAAAGAGCAGCGATTTACTCTGTCACAAGTCCCAGCAAGTCCATCACGAGTCATCCAGTCTTAAGCCAAGCCACAAGCTATTCAAGTGAACTGTGACAAAAGGATTCTTTTTCAGTGTTCACCGTTACGTTTTGCTTGTCTTGTAAAAGGACTTGTTGTGACTGGAGTTGTGAAGGGACTTGTGAAAGGACTTATTTTTTATTTGACAACCCTGGAAAAGGGGATGAGGGAATTTAAACCCTGGAAATGTTTTAGGATGGGTGGTAGGAAAGGGTCTCATTGGTTTATAGGCTTCCTTGATAATGGGGTGGAGGTTGGCTTTTTTTCCCTTTTTTTGGCAGCCAACTTTGAAAAGCCTCTAAAAGTAGTCTGTAAAAAAACAACTGCTCTTACAAACTTCTGATGCAACAACTGTTTCTGTTAGACACTGAGCTTTTGGCGACGCGTCCAATTTTTGTTTGTCTCTCAAATTGTCAGTATAAAAACTGCATTTGAATTGAAACAAAGTACTGTATTTCTCTTGTGTAGATTGCCATATATTGTTAACAACAACTACATCCATATCATTTTAATCCATCTGTAAAGGCCAGTATGCACTCAGCGTGACAGCAGGCACAAACCTGTAGAATCACAGGGAGTCTTTGGTTCACAAACTGGGACACTTTTCAGGATTGTGCCGTGAATGCTTTTGAGGTCAGATTCATGAATGTGTTACATTTTTGGCATATTGTGCCTCGTGTGACTTGGTACCTTATGAGCCTGAGTGGATGTCCTCAGTACCATTATACTAACATGGCATATTCTCTTTTGATATTACTCATTTGATCAGATCAGGCTGTTGTGTGAGATTTTGGAAAGAACTGGAAACCACATATGTTTGTCTCGTTGCTATGTCCATGCAAACTTTCAAACCACACGTTTTGCCCAATTTTGTCCTGTAAAGCGTTGGCATGCAATGATTACCCCTCTGGAATCTTGGGGACCAGCCAAAGAAGTGGACCGCCAGCATGCCTGGAATGTCCATCTGGAGCACGGGACCAGCATGGGCGGCACCCTGCCCCTGCCCAACTACGCCCAGGATCTGGATGGCGAGATCGAATCAGAGACCAAGTTTTGAGCTATTTGCTCTACACTGATCATTGCCAGCTGTAAGAAAAGAGTGCAGTGTGATGATTACCATTGGTTGAGACCATTTTTGAGACCAGGCACAAGACCAGTCACAAGGAACGGGATAAACAGTCACGATTGGAGGAATGTTTTTGTTGTATCCAGTGAGTTCAGACTGGAGTTCTTGTGTCTAGGTCTTGAGATTATTTTTTTGGGGGGGTCTTGTGGTCATCTTAAGGAGAGGGGTCTTGACAACACGCTTTTCAACATAGCCAGATATAGTGTAGCCAGTGTCTGAATCAGTCCGTTGCTTCTGAGTGGAAGTTGCTTTCATCGATGCTTGCTTCCTTTCCTCAACCAGAACTCCTGGACATAGACATGTGCTAATGTCACCCGTCAGCATTTAAGAAGTACTCCTAAATACCACTGTGTGTCTATTCTCATTGGTCCAGAGCCTGTCACATGGCCAGTTTAAAATGGGTGTTTGAGACTGGTTTCAATACACTGGGCATGTGCACATGGTTGAATTCAACAGAGGTTTTGCTGAGCATTGACTACTTTGTTTATTTCAAATTTCTTTTTCAATTTGGGTCACATAATTGTGGGAAGAATAGTAATGAACTTAATCCCTTTGCTTCCGGAGACGGCAAGAGCCGCGGCTTTGTGTGAGGATTAGTGCATACCACACATACAGTCTATTCACCATGCAGCTGCTGGTTTAATGGGGCCGGCTGATGGACAAAGCCCTCCATTCAGGGCATACCACAGCCCAGCATTCATGGTCAAAAGAATGACCGGCGCGAAGGGGTTAAAAAAATGATGTAATGATAACAAAACCCATTCTTAAATTTAATTAAAACTTCACAGATCAACTCAAAGTGAATGTTTTTACGCACGCTTTCCAAGTTTCAACAAGATTAGGCCTGTGATGGCTGATATTTGGGGGGGGTAGTGATGGAAGATGGTCTGAAGAAGTCGGCTCTTTAAGGTTGAGACTAGGCTATCACACTTGTTGTCCTGTTGTACATACAAGTGTGTGTGGTCTAATTCTTGGTTATGTTACCTTTAGTGCTAGGCTTTAGACTTTGAGTCAACAAGACCCACACCCTTAGTGTAGATGCATTTTCCATTTATACACATTAGACTCGCATATTTTTGATATACAATCCTGGAGCTCGCGGATAAAGCAGCAGCAGAAGCTCCAATTGAGAAAATGGTGCATGAAATTACCCAACAAGTTACGCAAGCATGATTTGTTTTACAGAAATAGACACAGATTGTTCAACTCAAAACTTTAACTCCAAACTCTGTCTCTGCCATTTAACTCTTGCAAAATAGGACAGTAAAAAACGTGAGTTTTTGCTTTATTATTTTAGCCAAAGAAATGCTGTCATTTTTTAAGATTGTGATTGTGCATTTTTTAATACATGAATCAAGTACAAAAAAGAATGTGTATGTATAGATTGTTTTACAGACTGAAATTGAACTCATGCTTTTCAGCTGCGTATAATTTCTCAGGTTCAAAGCGCAATGCACATCAGTCAAAACCTCGTGTTGAATGTGTTTTACACCTGCCATTGATGTTCTTAACGAGGACTCAACAATTTAGTTTTATATCAGTAAAAGAAACATTGTAGTTCAGAACAGTAACATGAACTAGCTATTCTTAATTTTGAGGATTTTTCTTTTACTAATCAATGTGTAACTGAAAAAAGCATGCTTAATATTGTAATATATTATGTTTTCATATTTCTCTGCAGTAGGAATACTGCATTTCTAATTAGGTGTATTGTGGTAGTTTAAAGGGCCTTTACAACACAATAATTTTGCAGCCCTTGAAAATGTACCATTTTTCCAATGAACCTTATTTTCCATTTTTGCTTTGCTATTTCAAAAGGTATATGATGCCTGTTTTATTTTTATACTATTGTGAGTTTTCACATTGGTGAGAAAAACAGTGATGTCATTTAAGAGAGAGAAAATCTCATTGCTACCTTGATTTGTGCACAACATCTGCTGAAATTGTTGATATTTTGCTGTTCTACGTTTCCTTCTCATTTTCAATGTGTTATGTGATTTCTTTGTAATAAGCTAACAAGCAACCCTGTCTCTAATGAGCAAATGTTGAGTTCCTGATTTGAACAGAAAAACATTCATCGACTGAACAGTGTTTTTCCTGATTAACCTCATGACAAGAGCACTCTCATGAGTTGCCTATAAAAGCTTGGACAATTTTACAAGTTCAAACAGTGCACTTTTCAATGCACTTTACCCGCAAAGGATGTCAAATAGTTTCCTTTCAATTCAGAAGAGTGTGCAACATGTGTGGCTAAGAAAACTTCATGTGGACCCTTTAATGGGAAATGTCTAAGAAGAAAATTTGGAATAACAACTTACATTTAACAAAAACTTTATTGATCTCATTTAGTGAACTGACCTTATAAACTTGTTTCCTGGGGAATCTTTTATATTTTATATAAAATATTTTATAAAAATGAGGAATTTTATTAGTTCTGAAAGTGTTCCTGTCAGCTTAAGTATCTTTTGCCAATTCTGATATGTTTTGTGTCTTGAGAGCTAAAGATAATTTTTTATCAAAATTATTTTGTATAGATTACCAACGATGTATAGGGACTTTTTGTCTGGGTATTCATTTTTCATGTAATTTTAGGATAATTTCTTGAGATACTTGATGCAGCTAATTGTTTCTTTAATTTAAGGAACTACTAAATATTCATTTGATAAGTCAAGGTATTTTTGGAGTAAATGGGGCACTAAATCGAATGATTGTGGGGCAGTTTGCCCCACAAACCCTGGGAGTTTCAAGGGCTTTTAGTCCTAGTGTTTTGAAAAGTTTGACATGTCAGTGAGTTTGACATGAATTTAATAGTTGCCGAGAATGTGAGCGTTAGAGACTTTGCTTGCTCTCTGCTGTTAATAGATGCCAAATCTTCTTGCAGCTTACCTTTGATGTATTCAATTTGCCACTGTTGGCTAACAGATATCCCTCAACTCGTAAATGTTGTATGCATGCTTGCACATAGAAGTGAGAACGAAGGTTGCCATATGTCAATAAAACGACCAAATGCTTTTTGCGTTTTGGTCACTATGAATGATTACAATTAATTCACCCAAATGAGTTCGCTGGAAATTCTTAACAGTTGTTGTGTTTGCACCAGCAACATGGTAGTTGTTGATACTTTTTTGCTGAGGGACATTGTTGGTTCACAATACTGTTTTGTTGAAGGGCATTTTAGTTCACAATACTGTTTTGTTGGGGGAATTTAAATTGTGTCTTGTTTTCGGACCTAGGATCTTGGATGACCAGACCAGTTTCTAATTACTGTGTAAATAAATTCATTGTGGGCAGAAATTGCTCATTTGAGAAAATTATGAGCTTACTACCTCCCCTCCCCAAAATAACGTGTTTGAAGTGGATTCTCCATTTATTTTCTCCAGTGAGCTATTTAAATTTGCGAAGCTCATATTTGTTTCCGCCCAGCAGCTTCCTAAAATTAGGCTTTGGGCCTAAATTATACCAAGACCTTGTAAATCTTTTGCTGATTAGCCTAACACACAAGTTCAGGTGTTCCTTGTCCAGTTGTCTTATTTGCTGTAGTAAAAGATGAGGGACCAAAAGTGAATTCATTTGGGGTTTTATGGGGGGATATTATTCGGAAAATGAAAAAGCAAAAATTGTGACAGAGGGCGCTATACTAATCGATTGATGGGCGCGCGGTCTGCCAACCGAGTATATTGGTACCCAACCTTAAAATAATTGAGAAGCAACATTTTGAGACACGCGACACCAGTCTAATAGTAGCATAGCTTCCGGTGCACCGGTGTTACGTGTAATTAATTGGGAACGGATGGTAACAAGACGGAACGGGTACGGGGAATAGGTTTATACGTTAGGCCCTTGCATCCGTCATTTTGTCTAGTCTAATTCTTTCTTTCCGGTTTTTGGACCGATACCGAAGTAACTCTTGGTTGTGAGTTCAACTACGCGCCACTTGTTGCTTGGATTGTTGGTTGGAAAGAATTCGATTTGTTCTCCTCCCGATTGTTTCGTTTCGGTGTTGGGCGGCTCTTGCGTGACTGATTGTCAAGATGAGTTGATCGGCTGAGTGTCATGGTGTGAGGCTGTATGAATTTCCCACCTGTCCGTTAATGTGCGTGCATCATTTTGGCATCCCAGTGTTTGGTCTTCCCGAAGTCACAGTGATAGTCAACACAGCCATGTAGGCCTATGTAGGAACATAAATGTGGCCTACTGGAACTTTTCAACAGAAGGCAAAGGCCTAGCGATTTGTTGCCTTCCGCTTTCATGTTTTTACGACTCGGCTGTGTCTGGCGAAATTGGAATCGTTTAAATTGAAAGGCCTGACGTGGCAAGGAGTACTTGTTCTCTTGATGACATTCACAATGAAGAAGAAGAAGTACAAGTTTAATGTGAGCTTTGAGTTGGTGGAATTGTCCTCGATACCCCTCGTCAATGGAGTTCTATTCAGCAAAGTAAGGCTACTTGGTGGAGGCAACTTTTCACAGTTAACTTCCCGGTAAGTAATGTGGTAGGCCTACTAAATTTTTTAAATTAAAAATGTAATTGCTTGGAAATCATGAGCTGCCAAGAATAGACTCACTGTGCCCGTTAAGTGACGGGACCTACATGTACAATGCAGAACCCCCCTATAATGGGTAAATCAACAAACATGGCATCCTCCCAAAGCAAAGTGTTTCATAAATATCATTTACCAAAAATAAAACCAACCTCCGTCAAGGTGTGTGGGGTACGATACTATAAATTGGCTTTGTTGTTTGTAAACAACACTCAAAACACACATTGCTAGTATAGGGGTTGATACCCACTATAAATGTAGGTCACATGATTTAGCAGATGCAAGCCTGTCTATTACCCCAAGAACTGTGGGGTTTGTGGGAGCTCAGTGGATGGTGAACAGCAAAAATATGGGGTTTATTTCCAAGAATAAATTTGATCAGACATGTGAGAAGACTGACAATACTGGAATTGTTTGGGGAAGAAATGAATTTCCCAAATGAAATGCGTGTCAGAGACCACAGAAACTTGTATTACCACATGGAGACAATCTAAGTCAGTAAGTGAAATACTAGTAGGCCTGTGTCGGGTCCCCACTTTTGATATCAAAATATTGTTTTCAGGCCAAGCACCCAGAAAAAGAATTTCACATATAAAATGTATATATGTATGTGAGCTTTAATAGTGAAGGGCAGGATTGCCAAAATATCATCTTGCTGCTAAAAACCCGGTCCTGTTTTCATACCGGTAACTCCGGCTCAGAGATTGACAGAGCTACTTTTGTTACAAATGAAAGGTAACACTTTGTTTAATAAAAAGGTGGGGGAGATTCCCTCTAACATCCAGAACAATGTGCTGCTTCCTATGTACGAAAAAGAGCACATCCAACTACAACATAACTAGGGACGATCCCAACTTCATGTATTGTGTTCACTGGCATGACTGGTGGGTTCACTGTACTGAGCGGGAAGTGTGATGTATTGCATGTCAGATATAACAACCGTATTTCCCAGAAACTGCCTTTAAATGTAACCTGAAGTCTCACAGCAGACGTTTGTCTTAGAACCTGCAACTAGATACAAATTTACGGGAATTGCCCCAATATAAGACATTATGTTTTGCTAAATACATGTACATCTACTGGGTACGGTACATGCAGATAAATGCACTACTCATATTTGATTTCAAATACCAGAGATATGTAATACAAAACTGCTTCAAACTGCTTGCTGACTACAGTGACAAATCGCAAAATATGGAGGGCTGACGTTTCAATCCTAGCAGAATTTTTCTCAAAGGCAAAATGACCAGTGATTTCAATTACTGCAACTTGGTGCCTTTGCTTTTTGACAGTATATTTACAGAGCTGAAGATAAAGATGAAGAAAAATAAACAAGTGCTGTGTACCAGTACTTTTGGCAGTGCGAGGAAGATTGATCTTAAACTTGTGTTTGATATTACTTACACATGGTAATTTTCTAAAAAGGTTCATACCCAGTACATACATGTACATGTGCGTACATGCCCTATGGTAGGAGAATGAATGAAACAGTGTTTGACATTACAATTCAAGTGTTAATTATACCCACTTCATGTAAGCTTCACTTTTTGAAAGCCATGTTTGCACTGGACTTTTTCCCCTGAGTTTTACCGAGCCGATGGTCAAATAACAAAAATGGTCAGTGCGACCACAGTCCACACTTGAACTTTTCACACAGGAAAAGTTTAGCGAGACCGCAGGAAAAGTAACCGAGCTGGCAATGCAATGACTTATGAGGGCACTTTCTGTGACCTTTCTGCATTTACTTTTGTCTTTAGACACAACATTACTGTCCTCATTATCATCTGGAAATGGTGTTTTCTTAACACAAGTTAATTTTCCAACAATGTCCATAACAATTGTTGCCATGATTGCGACCAAAAGAAAAAAAGTACAGGAAATATTTGCCACATGCCATACCCCGGCAAACGTGTAACGTGCGAATGCGTAGTTTCCCTGTATGAAACATGCCGTTGTGCTTGGGCCGGATGTACACTCTACTTGGACACTTTCTCATCGTTTACCGACTCTCATTGTCCGCACTGGACTTTCCATTTTGAAAAAGTGTCTGGCTAATTTTTCCTGGGCAGAAATTGGCCGGTAGAAATCTGGACTTAAAATGGGAAATGTTACCATTGTCTCGGTACCGTAAGTTTGCCCAAAATACTAAGTCTAATGGAAACACGGCTTACATATAAAACTGTTGATGATGGGACACCAGTCAAATCATTGATGAGTTTGGTGTCAAGGGAAAGGGCACCAGTGATGAGTCATGACCAAACAGGGCAAGCCAATCCAGGGGGTCAGTCATTACCATGAAATCAAACTGGATAACTCTGTACATGCATAGAACGTAAAACAAACATGAAAGAACACAATTGGATCCCACTCCAGAACAGTTTCTGAAGAACATCTAATCTGTCACACTCTTTTGTTCAGAACAATGTCCAGCCTTCTGGTCTCCATGTGGAAGGAGCATTTTAAAAGGGAACAGGGGTTGCCTGGATGGACTAATGAACTTTCAGGAATTTAGGGTATTCTCTGACAAAGGATGTCAGTGAACAATGGGACATCACGCTAGGGTTACAGCTGAGTTGATCCTTTCCATTGTTCAGTGGCAGAACCTGTTAAGTGGTTTCCCTGGTTGTGCAGTGAGCTCAGCCTGTGGTATGTCAAAACCAGTAGTACAGTGGCAGCCTTCACGTGGAATGTATGTGGGTGGAAAGGTTTCCTTTATTTAAATCAATAAAAAGAGTTGGCATACCGCATTGAGTAATGGCTTTTTCATCCCATTTGATGCAATTTCCAAATTGCTGTGCTCAGTTGGAATTACCAAAAATGACCGTGTTGAAATACAGATTTGTACAGATTTTGATCCATTAAGTGGGAATAGTGGCATGGGAAAAGGCAAGGGAATCGTTTTTAATGTCTCAAATGTTGCATCTGAAAAATCAATACCATTACCAGTTGATACTGTACAATATCATATGTCAATATTTTATTTTGGCAATATACATGAAATACCAGTACATGTACTTATAGAATGCTGTTTGCTTAATATTATTGTACATACATGTACAAGTACATGTATGAGAATTCCGGTAGGCTTCTGGAAGCCAATTTGCCATGTTCTCTTTTTTATACATGCACAGTAACTACTACTGCACATCTACTTATATTCCAAGTGTTTATAGTGCAGGTCCAGCAAGTACATACACGTACACTTACATGTAGGAATAAAACTGTATCACTATTTTTCTAACCATGTTTGTGTGATTTTGAGGGTTCAGTGATGCACTGTAGTTCATTGAGGGGTTTAGATAATTTTCTTCAAGCCATGAATACAATACCCACTTCTTTGCTTAGAGTATAGTACTCTTTTGCCCTCGGTATTGTTTCATATTGTACTCTGCTTCTTCGTGAGAGGGAAAGTACTGTACTCCCTAAGAGTTGGAGGAACTGAGTACCCATACTCTCTGTGAGTTAGTCCTTTTGCCTGTAGGCAAAATAATATTGTAGTTATTTCTCTTGAAAAACACGGAAAAAAAACAGTGCTTAGTGATTACCATGAACTTATGACACCAAAGACAAAATCACACAAGTCTGTATCCACCCGTGTACGGCAGCATGTGTGAGGCTATCGTGCGTGGATGCCATGTTGACCGACTGCCACGTGCACATGCCTGGTGGTGGACAATCAGAAAATCACAGTGCACTTCATCACTCGGTGGTCGAATGCGCTCACACTCCCGATCTAAACCGCGATCTTTCTAAGGGATTTCAGACTCAAATTTTCCAAAAATGATACCTGGTTTCTTGCAGATGTACTGGGAAGCCTCTAACGTGCCTCTTGAAAAAATGCCCAGCAGAACTTTGCAGAACTTTCCACAAGGAGTTCGGGCAACTCAAACCCTATCTATTCATGCAAAAATCGATGAAAATAGTGTGGTCCCCATGGGCTAAAAATCAATTTTACGACATCGTGTCTTCACAGAGTCTGGTGACCACGTTTTTTTACACAAAAACAATCCGTGCGCACAATGCGTGCACAGCAGCCCATTTCATTCTACAACACGTTTTCCTTTGGGTCTTTCAAGTTGATTTGGGATTTTCTGAATATTTTATCATTGTAATGCACGGTATAGCGGGAAAAGCTGTACGCAGACAAACAGGAACAAATCGGTTTCAGTGGCATCTGCTACGAATGTTACTTTGTTGGGCAGGGCTTAATTGACGAAACATGAAAAAGTACAGAAATTTAGGGTACTCTTTCTATAGTAGAAAGCACAGTCTTCTTTACATGTACGTTCTGTGTGAGGCTTTATGCTGTGTATTTTGACTAAATTTCCAAGTCGGGAAGCTTAAATACGCACGTTATCTAAACCCCTGTTCATCCTCTACCAGACCTTAGATGTAGGTTCTTATCGTGTATTGTGTGTACACACCGTACATGTACATCAATTTATGTCCATGAGTGTACATGTACTGGTATGTACATGTACATGTCATGTCTGTTATGCACTGTCTGTAAGTACCGTACATGTATGTGTACATACAGTGTATGTACATGTACATGTACATGTACAACCTTACGGTACATGTACATGTAGAGCTAGAATGTACATGTACATGCAGACATGTACCGGTACTGTACATGTGGATGTACATGTACATTTACCAGTATATGATTTAAACACTGGGTTATATTGTACATAAGGTACTGGGTACCCGTATTTCAGTGCACATGTATCGTATGCGTACAAACATGTACATGTACAAAACAGAGTGTACATGAACATGTATAATGTGGGAGAACTCCTCTCTGTTTTTTTGGCTATGGCAGCTTTTTTTGCCTGAACCTATTGCCAACACCTTATGATTTACAGCACTTTGCAAGTTAATGCCTTTCTAATTGGCTGTTGATCCATTGGGCAATTATCAGCTGTGACCATTGAAAGGAC